GAGTCATTAAGGGTTAGTTTTAGATGTCTGTGTAAGATGTGGATCTGGGCTGGTGAGAGCACTCAGTGGGTCACTGCCCTTGCAGAGGGCCCAGGGCCAGTTCCCAGCACCCACATTTTGGCTCACAACCACCTGTAACTCCAGTTCTAGCGAATCGGATGTTTTCCTTCTGGTCTCCCTGGGTGCAGCATGCATGTGGTGCAGTTACATGCTGGCAAAGCAGTCATACATATTTAAAAAATGATTGGCAAGGTATCCTCGCACACCGTTAATCCCCGCATGGGGGAGTCTGCGGCAGGAAGATCTCTGAGTTTGAGGCCAGCCTGGTCTACAGAGTGAGTTCCAGGACAACCAAGGCTACGAAGAGAAACCCTGTCTCGAAAAACAAAACAAACGAAAAAAGATAAAGATCAGGCCATATTGTTGAGTGGGAATTTTGCTTTTATTTTTGGCCTCTTTTCTTTACATTCCCAAGATAGCTGAGCAAAGTCAAGTCACTGACAAGAGATGAGGATCCCCCTTCTTCTGAGCTCCACAAAGCTAAGTGGGGGTATCACAGGGCCCTGGTTGGAGCTGCTGGTTCAGTCACTTCAGGATTGTAGGATGTAAGGCATAGAAGGCTCTGGAGCCACCCCCTCACCCCCCCCCTTTTTTTTTTGAAAGGGAAAGGAGTGGCTATCTCAAGAGGTAGAAGTCCAGACTGTGGTATCATTTGGAAATTAAGAGGTCTTCAGAGGTGAGAGACAGGTGTTGATGTCTCTGGTGATGGTTGATATCCCTGAAGACTACAGTCTGGAGCTTGATGGCCTGTACTCTGTAAAATAGTGATTGTACCAGAAGATTAAGTAAGTGAGGGTCAAAAAAGAAAGGTGAGGATTAGGCTAGTGAGCAGGTCAACCCCCATGTCTCTCAGTTAAGAGCCATCCTTTGGAGACTCTTAAATTTGATGTCTATAGTGTCCTGTAACCTACAGCATGTACTATGCTGATAGATAGGTGTAGCTGCAGTATTCTCCCAGAGTCAGGTCAGTACCCCTTTGGGCCACCATACTTAGGTCAAAGGCATGACAGTTACGGCGGAGCATTACTGAAGCACCCCGGTCCTCAAAAACTGATGAGATGTAGCTTAAGCTTATGTAGTGAATCTAAGTCTGCATCTCTGGTATCTACTCCTGCTGTAATGCCCAGGCCTGCCTGGTAGGAGGGGTTTCCGATGGACAGTCTCCTAGGTCAGGAGACACAAGGAGGCTGAATAACTGTTAGGGGCAACGAAGGCAGGGACAGGTCCATTAAGCCTGAAGATAGATGGTGGTGTTCGATAAAAAGGAAATGGTTGGATGTTCCAGAAACGGAGGAGGCTGAGGGATGGAAGAAATAGGAGTCTGACTGTTTAAGGGACAGTTGAAGCTGAGGTGTTGGGGGCTGAAGCCATTTTTCTCATACAGGTAGAACTGTCAGGGGTCTGTTAGGATCTAGTGTTGGTGATCGGAGAGAGGAGAATTTGAAGGGCTCTTTTGAGAGGAGGTTTGGTTTTGTCACAGAGGTATGTTGGGACAAGCAGTTGGTCAGGCTTGACGGAGTTTTGTGAGTTTTTCTAGAGTTTTATCAGGCAGGCCAAAGAATAAACACCTGTGAGACCTGTACATTGTCTTGGAATTGGGGGTTTGACAGGCACACTTTTTATGTCTCTAATAGAAGGGTAAAGTTGTGTGATTAAAGAATGCCTACGGGCCGGGCAGTGGTGGCACATGCCTTTAATCCCAGCAGAGGCAGAGGCAGGCAGATCTCTGAGTTCGAGGACAGCCAGGGCTACACAGTGAAACCCTGTCTCACAAAACAAAACAAAAAGAATGCCCGTGGGATGGGACCCCTTGTGGCTTCAGTTCAAATGAGCCTGGTTTAATTATTAAGGCCAGCATTTGACAAGACTATACACTAAATTGGTGAGTGTGGAGATGCAAAGAAATAGATTTATGTTTACATTTGGCTGTGAGAGTGTTGAACAGGTGTGCTGAGCCCATGGAGATAGAGTTCTATTGGAAATGTGTGTGGAGGGAAATTAATTGGGTCCATTTAAATAGTGGCTGAGCAGGAAATGCACTCCTGGTAGGAGTTAAGGGGTAAGCAAAGGCAGAGGTCTTCCATCAGGGTCCAGTTGTGTTACTTGAGATTATGGGCCTTTTGGGGAAGGTGAGGAAGCAGGAGGGGCTGAGACCAGGAGTAGCAGAATAACCCAAGTCAGAATGGTTAAAAATGACCCTATTAGGTGATTTCAGGAAGACAAGTAAAGAGTGTGACAGTGGCCATCAGGAAGATGAGACCAAATCCTAGGCCAAGTATAGGGGCCCAGTGCTGTTGGAGTGAGGGATGTGAGATCTCTGTTTAATTGTTATTTAAATTTTATTTATATTTTATGTGTATGGGTGTTTTGCCGGCATGTATGTCTGCATCATGTGCATTTTTGGTGCCCTGAGTGTCCAGAAGAGGGCACCAGATCCCCTGAGACAGGAGTTATAAATAGTTAGGAGCCACCATGTGGGTGCTGGGACTCGAACCCAGGTCCTCTGGAAGAGCAGCCAGTGCTTTAACAGCTGAGCCATCTCCAACTTAAAAGGTGAATTTTTTTTTTTTGTTTTTTTTTGTTACTGTGTTTGTTTTCAGACAGGGTCTCTAAATAGCCCTGGCTGTCCTGGAACTTGCTCTATCGACCAGGGTGGTCTTGAATTTACAGAGATCTGCCTGCCTCTATCCCCTGAGTACCAGGCTTAAGGGGGTGCACCACCACACCTAGCTTCACACCTGGGTGTGAGATCTTAAAAGTACAGTTGGGAGGAAAAGTGGGCTGAGGAGGGTCTGAAGTGTGAACTTAGAGAGCTTCTAAGAGCTGGATTAAGGGGACTGGAGATGGCTCTGTGGTTAAGAACAATGGCTGCTCTTGTGGAGAACCCAGGTTTGGATCCCAGCACCCACACGGCAGCTTACAAACATCTGTAACTCTAGTTCCTCTGCTGACCTCTGTGGGCTCCTGTAAGCATATGATGCACAAACATACACTCGGGCACACATGCACATAAAATTAGATAGCTACATATAAATAAAAAGACTTAGATTAACCATTTCAGCCTTTTCAGATGATAGAGGGCTGCCACACAGCATAGAGATCATGCCTAATTTTGAGACTTTCATTTACTCCTTAATATTGAAAATGGAAGCTGAGGGGTTAGGGATTTAGCTCAGTGGTAGAGCGCTTGCCTAACAAGCACAAGGCCCTGGGTTCGGTCCTCAGCTCTCAAAAACAAAAACAAAAACAAAAACAAAAGAAAATGGAAGCTGAACATTGTCATACTGTAGGCGGAGGTGGGGGGTGGGGTCGTAGGGCAAAGCAAGGATGTGTTCAAGAGGATGGTGGCCTGTGAGGCTCTCCCTTGCTCTGCTTTACGGGAGTTGGCTTCTTCCACTGGGTGAAGGTCCCTGTCTACTAGAACTATTATATCTGTGACCATCATGCTAGGGGGAAGTGGGTGAGGTTTATTTGGATTTCCTGAGACTGTGAGAGAGTAGGATTGGGGATTAAGATTGAAGTGAAAGGCTGTTGATCAGCTTGGTTGTTATCCTAAGAACTGTCAGAGTCGGCCTGGCAGTGAATAATGGCCACCTCAGTTAGAAGCCCGGTGGCTTCAGGTAGGGCCAGGATCTCCTAGACATGTCTGATCAGGGCGTCATGGCAGTGCAGAGACCCCATTCTTCCCAGATGGCTGCACAGACACTCATTACATGAAAAAAAAAAATCACATTTCTGCCCTTGGTGAAGACAAGTAGTTCTGTCTTTGAGCTTATTACCCAGAAAAGGCCCAGATTCTATGACTTCTGTGAAGCCATGTCCTGCCACTGGAAAAACTGCCAACATCTGTGAGCCAGGTAGTCTCGGGTAGGGGTGTTGTAAAGGGGCTCAAGGTGAGGATCTGGAGGGAAGTTTTGTAGTAAGTTCTGGAGTGTGTGCAAGAGTGTGAGATTTGGTGACTCCCCTGAGACCCAGTAGAAGGCTCTTGAATTGACATTGTCAAGGACCTGGTGGAGCATATAAACTGTCATACTCTGTTCCAGAGTTAATTTGGAGGCCTTTCCAGCCAGAAGGACAACAGCTGTCCCATGCCTCTGGGTCTAATGACTTGGAAGAGTAAACGGCTGGACTCTCAGAGCGCCCCAGGATTTGAGTTCAGAATTCCTGGGAATTCTGTTCTCTCGTAATCATGTACATAGAGAGAAAAGGGCGCGGTGAGGCAGGAAAAGTTAATCCTGCTACAAAAGTTCTGTAGGATGTTAAGGAATAGGAAGAGGGAGCTTGTAAAAAATAATTTTTTTTTTTTGGTTTTTCGAGACAGGGTTTCTTTGTGTAGCTTTGTGCCTTTCCTGGAACTCACTTGGTAGCCCAGGCTGGCCTCGAACTCACAGAGATCCACCTGGCTCTGCCTCCTGAGTGCTGGGATTAAAGGCGTGCGCCACCACCGCCCGGCTGAGCTTGTAAAATTGTATCATAGAACCCAGAAAGGCAAAAGGAAGAATCTTGGCTGCTCATAGGGGTGATTGCCTGCTTTAGGGGGGCCAGGGTCTTTGTTATCATCACAAAGACGGGCTTCAGGGAAGGTGAGTTGGGGGGTTGATCCTCTTAGCGATAGACTTTGTTGTGTGGCTGGAGAACCCCTGGGCAGGCAGGGAGTGAAGTGGAGGGGAGAGAAGGGAGAGATACTGGAGCACAGCTTGTCTCCTGGCCTCCTGAGCTCTGCAAGGATACAGTGCGGACTGGGCAGCTGGGATCTTTCTAGAAGGCACTGTGTCTGCCCGGATGATGGCATTTCACTCTCTGTAGCTGCCATGGGACTCCGTGGCCCTGTTGTTAGAAATGTAGGTCATCAGGCCAAGGGAGGATCATACCTGAGCTGGGGAATCGCTAGGGCTCCTGTGCCGCCTCCACGTGGCCCTCTCAATCCCTCTGTCCCGCAGCTTCTATTCCAAGGACAGTGAAGGCAGCTGGTTCCGCTCCCTCTTTGTTCACAAGGTGGATCCTCGGAAGGACGCCCACTCCACGCTGCTGTCTAAGAAGGAGACTAGTAACCTCTACAAGATCCAATGTGAGTGGCCGCTAACCTGGCTGGCTGCACCTCAGGCTGTTTTTGTGGGCGGATTTGGGGTAAAGAGCTATGATATTGGAGATGATAGAATCCTCCTTCTCAGCAAGGCCCCAAGCTGTCCTGGGAGCCTTGGCCCTATTTGGGGCCTGCTCACTCTGATCCCCCAACTCCCCCCCAAACACACACACACACACACAAGCATGTGTGGGTATTGCATGCACTTCATTTCCTGCTCTCTGTCGTATGTTGCAGTTCACAATGTGAAGCCCGAATATCTGGATGCCTACAACAGTCTGACGTGAGTGTTCTCCATCTACTGTTCCCCTCCACTGTGGGAGGTAGTGGGTAGGGCCCTCCTTCCCAAGAAACTCTTAAACCCTCTGCCTCAATCTCCTGTCCAAATCAAAGGGTGTGGATTCTAGAGCCCCACCTGTGCTTCTTAGAGAGGAGACAGGCTTGGCCCTGGGGCCCGAGTTGGAACCTTTATCTCAGGGCCCTTGGTGGCCAGTGCAAGCCCTGCTCCTTCCTGTGCCCTTCCCACAGGGAGGCTGTGCTGCCCAAGCTGCACCTGGATGAGGACTACCCCTGCTCGCTTGTGGGCAACTGGAACACGTGGTACGGGGAGCAGGACCAGGCAGGTGAGCTTCCCTTGTCCACAGGGACCACCCAGCCCGGGTCTCCACCAGCTCTCATATCCGACTGCCCTCCTCTCTCTGCAGCATCTCTGGGGGCATGAGGGAGTATGTTTCTTTCATACCTCATCGCCCCACCCAAACACCTGTTGTGGCTCCTCCCTCAGTGCCCTCAGGCAGCCCACGAGGCCTGGGAGTCCTTCCTTGCCCAGTCCACAGCCTTCCTTTGTTACCTCCGTTCACTGTGCTGCTCTGCCTAGGAGTCATCGGTTCCCCGGGTAGAACTCTCTAGTTATAGGTGGCCGACCTGAGGGGTTTGTTCTACCTTGCCTGGTTTACTTGGTTTGGTTTACCTGTCTTTTAACTTGTTTTAACTGTGTAGACCAGGCTGGCCTCTAAGACGTACTTTCCCTCTAGAATATTATTAATGGACCAGCCTTAATAATCTTCCCATGGGGCCCCAAAGAGATGCAACCATCGGCGGGTGGAGGAATCTAGATACACCAAGCTCTTTGTCCTTTTACTTTATTCCTCTATGACAAAAATTCTATCTATATAGCTTCAATTCCATCTTGAATCTTAGTTCCTCTTTGTACCTACTTTTTCTGTCCCCTCATAGCCCTGGTAATAACTAAGCCCTTATGCTTTTGGCCTCATCTTCGTCCTCTGTTCCTTCATCCTCCATCTATCCTTCCTGGCTCCTTACTCCTGACCCTAATAAACTCTATAAGAAACTTCCTTACCCTCTACAGAAGCTCTGTCGTCTTCTCTCTGGCCAGGCTGCTCGGTCTAACATCTACAGAGAGACTGCCTTGTTCTTTTTCTCCCTGCCACACAATTCTGTCCACCAGGAATTCTGCCTCACTCTTTACTCCACCTGGATATGCAAAAACCTCCTTTGTCCTCAGTCAATTGCTCTGGAAAGCCACTAGGCCTGAAGGCACTGGATAGTCTGAGCTTTATCTGCACAAGAAACAAAGCTATGCATCTAGGAGCCAGGTTGCCTCCAAAAGGAGTTTTACCTTAGTTCAGGGGCTTCAGGCACCTAGCAGGTGGTCTGGTAGCTAGTCTGTTCCTTGCTTGTCCTTCAGTGCTTTGTTTGGAGCTGGCCCTATCTTTGGATGTAGCTAAAAGGGGATATTTGCAAAATAGCCAATTCAAATGCTAAAAAGGGAGCAGGGAGGCAGAAGGACCTGCCTACATGACCTTATCCAAGTACTGGTCGGAGTAGGATGCTCACATATACATGTTCTATGGGAATTATGAGCACAAGAAATTCATAACGAGGAGCAGCTGAATATTAAAACTGAATAACACCAAATATTCCGTGATAAATGGCTTCCCACTAGAAAAACGCCTTGAAAATTCTAGGTATAGCTATAATACACAGCCAAATCTCTATAATATATTCTTGTGGTCCTCAAGATCTCCCTGCTTCAGCCTCCTGAGTGCTGAAATGCTTTGATTGTCTTTTTTTTTTTTTTTTCTTCCTTCTTCAAGACAGGGTCCTGGTGTCCTGGAACTCACTATGTAGACCAGGCTGGCCTTGAACTCACAGAGATCCACCTGCCTCTGCCTCTCAAGTGTTGGAATTAAAGGCGTGCGCCACCACTCTTGGCTTGTTTGCTTGTATTTTTTTTTTTTTTAAGATTTATTTATTTATAATGTATATATGTATTTTGCCTGCAGGTACGCCTGCAGGCCAGAAGAGGGCACCAGATCTCATTATAGATGGTTGAGCCACCATGTGGTTGCTGGGGATTAAACTCAGGACCTCTAGAAGACCAGTCAGTGCTTTTAACCACTGAACCTTCTCTCCAGCCCCCATTTGCTTATCTTTTAAAGTTATTTTCAAATTAATTTACTTTGTGTGTGTGTGTGTGTTTCTGTCTGTCAGTCTGTCCGTCTGTCCGTACAGGTGTGCATGTGCTGTGGTGTGCCTGTGGAGGTTAGTGAACAGTAGTTCTTGTCTTCACCTTGTTGAGGTGGGGTCCCCTTTGTTTCTGGTGCTGCACTGTGCACTCCAGGCTAGATTACAGATGTGCACTTCTGTTCCTGGCTTTTTCACTTGGGTTCCAGGGATCAAGCTCCAGTTGTCTGGCTTGTGTAGCAAGAGCTTTTACTTTTACATCTCACCAGCTCTTGCCTGTCTTACTGTTTTATATTTTGGTGTAGACATGGCATCCTTCTGAAAAAATGATTCTTTGCATTTTTGCTGGGTCAGGCACTGTCCTTGGTGAGTCAGGCACTGTCCCTGGCTCTCATCTCCACTACTTGCCTCTTCATTCCCTAATGATGCGTCCCTGTAGCTGCCGACATCCTTGTCTACCGTCTCCTATAGGTAGTGAGTTTTGGGGGTCAGGGCTATATCTCTTGGAAATACTTAATACTCAATATAAATATTCCCTCTCTTTAAAAAATCCATGCTGGGGAGTGGGGTGGTGCTGGAGAGATGGCTCAGTGGTTAAGCGCACTGGCTGCTCTTCCAGAGGTCTCACAGGTTCCATTCCCAGCATACACCTGGTGGCTGGCAACTATCTGTAACTTCAGTTCCTGGGGAACCCCACACCTTCTGCTGGCTTCACAGGTGCTCCACAGCCTTCTGCTGGCTTCACAGGCACTGCATACCCATGGTGCACAAGACATAAGCCACATGTAAGCCAAACACCTGCACCCATAAAATTAAAAAGTAAATAGTTCCTCAAAAAATTATTGTCAAAAAGTTTATGCTGGGGCCTGGAGAGGTATCAGCAGTTAAGAGCACCTTTCGCACTTGCAGAGGACCTGAATTCAATTTCTGGCATCCAACCATCCATAAGCATCCACAATTCCAGCTCCAGAGAGTCTGCATCCTCTTCTGACCTCCATGGGTACCAGGCACACACATGGTGCACACATACATGCATTCGGACAAAGCACTCATACACATAAACTTAATCCTGAAAAAATATGTTTTAAAAGCTCATGCTGGCTGACTCCTGTAATCCTCGAATTCAGGAGACTGAAGCAGAAGGATTACTGTGAATTTGAGGACACGCTGGTCTACAGAGTGAGCACCAGACCAGCCAGGTCTATAGAATGAGACCGTGTCTTGAAAAATTAAAACCAAACTTGACCATAACAACCAGAAAATTCGGTTCCTCAGTCATCTTTGACACCTCAAGTGTCCACTGAAAGACCTGCCTGGCTCGCGGCTGCCATTGGTAGACGGCTGTAGCCATTTCCAGTGTGGCAGAGGATCATTTTGCATGGTACAGGTATAGACTACGGCACAGCCATTGCAGACAACCCTCTCAGCTTCCCTTGCATAAACTCCCAACAGTGGGAGCTCATCACCCCATAAGCCAACCTGTCTCAAACCTGATGTGTGTGTTTAGTAAAAGAAAACAATCTGTAAGCCTAGCATGGTGGTACACATTTGTAATCCCAGTACTTGAGAAGTAGAGGCAGGTGGTACCATAAGTTCAGGGCCAGCTTGGACTACATATCAAGTTCAGGCCAGTGAGGGCTTCATAGAGACCCTGACTCAAGAAATAGAATTAGGAAACCTGTACAAAGAGAAAGACAGATATCCGTAATTATCTGGTCTGTGTTGGTGACAGACAATAATTGGTAATCAAGACAAGCCATGTGCTTTCCGCTTAGCACTATGGTTTTTTTAATCTTTGATCAACTTGACTGGCAGTAGCAAAACTCCTTGGATTCTATTAAGAGTTTACTGATTGAGGGGCTAGAGAGGTGGTTCAGAGGTTAAGACCACGGTCTGCTCTTCCAGAGGACCTGGGTTCAATTCCCAGCACCCATATGGCAGCTCACAACTATCTGTAACTCCAGTTCCAGGGGACCTGACACCCACATGCAGGCAAAACACCAATGTACATAAAATCAATCAAACAAACAAACAAACAAATAAATAAAATAAGAAGCAGGTGGGGTCAACATTTAAAAAAAAAAAGAGAAAAAAGAGTTTACTGATTGAAGCCAGGCATGGTGGTGCATGCACACCTTTAATCCCAGTACTCAGGAGACAGGCAGGTAGATCTCTATGAGTTCGAGTCCAGCCTGGTCTACAGAGTGAGTTTCAGGAAAGCTAGGGCTGTTACACAGAGAAACCCTGTCTCAAAAAAGAAAAAAAAGGTTACTGGTTGAGCCAGACTTAGTGGTACATGCCTGTAATTCCAGTTCCTGGGAGGCTGAGGCAGGGGGATAGAGAGTTTGAGGCCAGTCTGGGCTATTTAGCAATACCTTATCTAAAATAAAACCAAACCATGCTTGCAAACTGTGAAATGAATTTTGACTTTATAAAGCATATCCTATATGATGCACATCTTGAGATTTATCTCCTCTATGTGGAGACATCTGAGGAGCAGGCCGTTAGAGTCAGGCTCCAGGAGCAGGGCACAGGGATATACATGTGAATACACTTGTCAAACCACTGATCTGTCTTCTCTAGGGGCCACTGATGACTAGAGACTTCTTTCTTGGCCTCTTCACGCCTCACATTAAGTTGACCCCTTTCCTGTAGGTCGGCATTCTTGGTTTGCCATGATAGGACAGACTGCCATCCATACAAAAGTTAGGGTACTTCCCTCTGGAACAGGCCCTTTGAACTATAGGGTCAGACCGTTTTGCAAATGGGAAAATCAAGGTGCCAAGAAAGTCTGATGAGGGAATGGCTACCGTGGGAAGTAACAGAACCTGTGCTTTCAAGTCACAGGTCAGTCGGTTACCCTCAGCTCTAGCATGGCCCCTCGCCTCCTGGGGGCCAGCCTCCCCGCACAGCTGTGGTCCCGACTTTAGTGCTGTTGTTTGACTTCTTCCTCTCCTCCTCTGTCTGCCCCGCCATCCCCCCTCCCTCCCCCTCCCTCATTTCCTCTGCTTTGCTGTTGATTGACCTAGGCCTCGAATATGCTAAGTACATGTTCTCTCACATTAGCTCATGCTTTGCTTACTGGGACTCAGGTTAGCTACCCGGGGCTGCCATAAACTACTACAGACTCCAAAATGGAAGTGCATCCTTCAACTTCGGCAGCCAGAGGCAGAAATCAAGGTACTAGCTCGGTTTGGGCTTCCTCTGAGGCTCAGGGAGCGTCCTTCCTGCCTCTTGCAACTTCCGGCTGTTAGGAACCCCTGGCATTCTTTGGCATGTGGGCACATCAGTCTGAGCTCTGTCTTCTGGGTCACAGGGTATTCCCTTTGTGTGCATCTCTCCTCTGATAAGGGCACCAGACTGGACTGAAGGTCTATCCAGTATATAGTCTTAACTCAGTTATCTACAGAGACCCTGTTTCCAAACAAGGTCACATAGCATGGTTCTGGCAGGGCATGAATTTTGGAGGGGCTCCTATTGAAGCCAGCAGAGACTATGGTTGGGGGAAAATCTAATGGTACAAAGAGTTCTCAGTGAGAATGAGGATGGCCTTTCATTGGAGGACCAAGGGGTCTCTATAATCAGTCTTGAGTATCCACGAGGAGATCATGTGTACATTGGCATCCCTGTATGTATCCTTCTGCCCCTGACCACATGCTGGAGTACCCCAGTATCCCAGCCCTTAGTTTGTTTTTCCTCCCCCCTCCTTTTTTTTGAGGCAGGGTCTTCCACAGCTCAGGCTGGCCTTGAACCTTCTGATCCTCCTGTCTCCACACAAATGTGTGTCACCAGCCCAGTTTTATGTAATGTTGGGGATTTTGAACTCAGGGCTTTGTGCAGGCAACCGGCTAAGCTGCATTCCCAGTCTGCTTCCTTCCTTCATAAGGTTGGGTCTCCCTCTGTTACCCAGACATTAGCTCAAGGCATCATCCTGCATCAGCTTCCCAAGCGGCTGGAACTACATGTCCCTGTCTCCATACATAGCTGCAGGTTTTACTTATTTATTTATTTCTTTTACAGTCACTGCCTTGGAACACTCTTGTAATCGTTTGGTTGGTTGTTTTTTGCAGTGCTAAAAGAGATGGAACTTGGGGTCTCCTGCTATTAGACAAATGCTCTACCAGTGAGCTACAGCATCAGCCCTCTTGGAGTGTTCTGTTAATCCCTGTGTCTGCTGGTGTCCCTAGGGTGGAAGATGTAGCTGGAGAGTTTTCTCTCTGGGTCCTGCCAAGCCCCAGCAGTCCAACAACCCACTTATAAAATAAACACACAGACGTATAATATTTAAACTGTTTGGCCTAATGGCTCAGGCTTCTAGCTATCTAGTTCCTACATCTTAAATTAATCCATTTCTATAAATCTATACCTTGACACGTGGCTTATTGGCATCTTCACATGCAGCTTGTCATGGCAGCGGCTGGCAGTGTCTCTCTCTGCCTTCCTGTTCTCTCAATTCTCTTCCCTGTTAGTCCCACCTATACTTCCTGCCTGGCTACTGGCCAATCAGTGTTTTATTTATTGACCAATCAGAGCAACACATTTGACATACAGACCATCCCACAGCAGGAAGACACTCAGATCATCTTTTGTTTGGTTTTGTTTGTGATACTATAGATGAAACCCAGGTCCTTCTGCATGCCAAGCACGTGTTTTATCAGTAGCTACCCCCATCCTCATCTGATCCTCTTGTTGCTGCGATTTTAGGAATGTTGGAGTTTTGTGGATGAGGACATTGAGTCCTTGAGGGGTCAAAGGCTACCAAGCAGAGCAGAGCTAGTGGTCTCCTGGGCTTGTACTGGGCTTGCATCTAACGTCATCCCTCTACCCTGTGGTACTCCTCACCAAGACAAGGGGACTAGGAGACACCCCCCCCCCCCCCCCGACTGCCACACACACAGTCCAGCCTTGGTGGTGGTTGCTCAGGTAGAGTCCCGGTAGCTCCTTGACCTGTGTCCCTGTCCCCAACAGTGCACCTATGGAGGTTCTCAGGTGGCTATCCAGCCCTCATGGACTGCATGAACAAGCTAAAAAACAACAAGGTATCCCAGCATCCTGTGTGCATGTTGCTTCCAGCCCAGCCCTGTGTGGAGGGGAGTGTGGGAGATTCCTCTGCCACCCACAGAGCACACTGACAGGGTAGCATAAAGCTCCTGGCTACTGTGCCTACAATGCTGTGCCTTCAGGAGTACCTGGAGTTCCGGAAGGAACGGAGCAAGATGCTGCTGTCCCGGAGAAACCAGTTGCTTCTGGAGTTCAGCTTCTGGAATGAGCCACAGCCCAGAGCTGGCCCCCACATCTATGAGCTGAGGACATACAAGCTCAAGGTACCTGGTTCCCAACCGAGCCCTCTTGCCTTCTGTCTTCCCCGCTGTTCTGTTGCTTTGCCAGAGCTCTGGTTAGGAGTGTCTGATGCTCCTCCCTCCTGGTATGCTCAGAGCAGAGGGATGTGCATTTTCTGCGCATCGCTGCACACCAGGTGTGAGTCAGGGCCCATGAGTGAGCTCCTGGCTCTGGGGAAGGCTGGTTTCCCATCCTTGCCCTTACGATGTTGGGAGTCCAAGGTGGTGCTCACTTCCTCCTCCCTCTGGATCTCTTCCAGCCAGGAACCATGATTGAGTGGGGAAACAACTGGTAAGTGGTGGCACTCGGTTGGGTCCCTGCTGTCCTGCCCCATCAGGTTCTCAGTGGGCTTCCTTAGGGTGTGTTACAAGGAACCCAGCACGCTCTGCTCCTCACAGATCTCAGACAAGGATCCATCTGAACAGTGCCAATTCTGTAGAGGAAAGTGCTGCCAACCAGCTAGCAGCTACACCTCCAGAATCCGTTCCCTGGGCCCCACTTTGACCCCACCCATAAAATGTGGCCAGAGAATCAGCCTGGGACACCCTGGGGGACCATTGCCTGGGCCTCTGCCTCATGTTCTCTGCTATCTCCAGGGCTCGAGCCATCAAGTACCGTCAGGAGAACCAGGAGGCAGTGGGCGGCTTCTTTTCACAAATAGGAGAGCTCTACGTGGTACACCACCTATGGGGTAGGTTGGAGGCACTCCAGGAGACCCTGTTTGTCCCGTCACCTCACAAAACGCGTGGATGCAACTGTGTTCCTGTTGCTCTCACATCCTAGCAGAGGGAGATGCACCCTCAGACAAACTAGCAAAAGGACTCAATTTCACATGACAGATGCTGTGGGAGACCAGGCAGGGGAAGACAGCAGAAAGAAGCAAGGGACCTTAGTGGCTTGGATAGACAAGGGCCCTCTGAAGGGTATAATACCGAGTCCTGAGCTGAAGGGTGAGGAAGCTGGCTAGGGATTGCTGGAGGAAGTCACAAGCAGACAGAACAGCATGTGAGGAGGCCTTCGATGAGTGGAAAGGAGGCGGGCATGGAGGGAACGGGAAGAGTGTGGTAGACAGGATGGATGGATGGAGGAGGCCAGCCATCAGATCAGGCTGGGCCTCGAAGGCCGTGGGAATGAGCTGGGGTTTATCATGGATGTGGTAGGAGAGGCAGCAGCAGCAGCGTATCAGTTCTGTGCCTGGTAGGGAAGCAAGGTTGGAAACTGGGCATGGGAAGATGCTTACATTAGTGCAGGCAGGTGGGCATGGGCCGGCTTCAGGTAGCGGCAGTGGTGTGCTCAGACAGATCCATTGGTCTAAACATCGAATTGATGGGACTGAGAATGAATTGCTGGAGGAGAAAGGAGACGGTAAGGAGAGCCTTCAGACTCTTCCCTGAGCAGCTGTGTGTCCTGTTCTCAGACAAGGAGGTCTAGGGGAGGAGCTAAGTCATGGGATTGGGGTATAATTGTGGTCTTTGGGAGGGCTATATTTAGTATGCCGGTGTTGGTCCAGTCAGCACTTGCCACCAAGCCTGACAACCTGAGTTTGATCCCAAGGATCCACATGGCCGGAGTGATCTGACTCCTGCAAATTACCTTCTGACCTCCACATACTCCTCACCCTGAATAAATAAATGCAAAAAACATTGTAAGATACAGCTGCTCCCCACTAGAAATGTCACGTGGGCACCAGATAAGGCGTCCACAGGAGAGCTTGAGACTGGAAATATCTATGTTTCAAAACCCTTAATCCCTACCACAGGGCCTTTGTGCATGTGTGCGCCACCGCTGCCCAGTGGGAATCATTCATTTTAACATGTGTGACCGAATGCTGTTGACAGCAGCGTTTGCTGACAGTCGAAGGAGGCATCTGGGCACCAAGAGATAGTAGGGCAGGGTTTGGGCAGTGGGAGGGTCTTTGTGCTGAGGCAGGGATCCGATTCTCTGAGGAATGAGCCTCTGCCTTTCTCACAGCCTACAAAGATCTGCAGTCTCGGGAGGAGACTCGAAATGCAGCCTGGAGGAAGAGGGGCTGGGATGAAAATGTCTACTATACAGGTGGGTGTCTCCTCTGCAGGTCACTGGTGCCTTTGCAAGTGGTCTGCTGGGAGACCCGAGGACGCAGGTCTCTGCAAGGCCAGCTGGCATCACTTGACTGCCTCTAGTGTGGGAACGCACTGTCTTGTTTGTTTGGTCCCCACCCCCATTTGAATTAGTGCCATGCTGTACTGCCCAAGTTCATCCTGGTGGACCTTTCCCCTCAGTCTTCCAAGTTGCTGGGATTGCAGGCATGTGCCGCTGTGCCCAAGTGGGAACTTACTTTGACATGCGTTAGTGGGGTTTTGTCTTGTGATGCACATTCCACATGATACAATCCATCCTGAGGCTCTAAGACACACACACAGGCAGGTGATCCCTATGTGAGATGTACCCCGGGGTCAGCTCTGCACCTCACAGAAGCCGCTGCTTTCTGTCTCTGCTGCAGGGAGGGCATTGAGAGTTTATGCGTGGAATGCTTTGCCCTATCTACCATCAAAACCCGCAGCAAATTTTTTGAGCAACTTCTTCCTCAAAGTGTCGCCACTGCTAGGAACCCAGAGTCAGCAGATAATGACTGAATCTTCACAGTGAAACTGTGGTGGGTGGGTAGTGCAGGCCTATAAATAAACAAGATTCTGTCCCCGACCTTGAGGAGTTTACAGTTAATCTTCCACATGGCTACTTGGTGTGGGCAATGGTATGTCTGCTGAGGTAGGTGCATGAGCCCTGCTGTGCCAAGTGTGGTCCCAGCGGACAGTGCTGGCATCCACTGGACACAATAGAAATGCCTAGTTAGCTTCTCCCAACCTTGTGGGAACTAGGCTTGTGGAGATTTGTCTACACAAGTTAAGCACAGGAAGCAAGAATCTAAACTCTGGGCTGGAGAGATGGCTCAGTGGCTAAACTTCCATACTGTTCTTAGAGAGGATCCAAGTTCATTAGAGAGGATCCAAGTTCAGTTCCCTGTACCCAGCTTGGGAGGCTCACAGCTGCCTGTAATTCCCACCCTAGCAGCTCTGACACTTTCTTCTGACCTCCATGTGCACATACCCACACATTGACTTATAAATATTGTTAGAAAGATAGATAAAATCCTTAAAAAGAACTTACCTCCTGAGGACTTTCTCTTGACACCCCTACCCCCACGGGCATGGCCTCCCTAGCTGAATGAGGGGCAGTCACACTGAGTCAAACCTCAACCCTTAAATTCTTACCATGCCAGTGTAGACCATTATAGTTCTCTTTATTTTTGTTTGCTGTTTTTGATGCTGGGGATCGAATCTAAGACCTCACACATACTAATCAACATTCACCTCATCACAGAACCACACCTCTGGCCTTAGAATTATTTTTCTTCCTATCTTCCTATGTTGTCCTTAATCTGTCCTTGCTTTTATATTATTAGGCTTAGTGCGTTTTGGGTGCTTTGGAAGCGAGGGCAGAATCCGGAGTTCCACACGCTAGGCGGGTGCTCTGCCACCGAGCTGCCTCTCTAGCCCCATGCTAGTTTCTTGTCACATACGTAGAAAATGAACAAAAATTGTAAAATACTCAGCTCATTACCACCTAAATCCTGTCTTGTAAGCCTTTCTCAGCTGACAGCAGGGACTTCTTCCCATCACAGGTTTTGTGAGTTTTTGGTCAGGAACCAAGTGTTCTTGGCCAGCTCTGTAACCTCTGCTTCTCTCTCCACAGTCCCCTTGGTTCGACACATGGAGTCACGAATCATGATCCCTCTGAAGATCTCTCCTCTCCAGTGAGGCTGGCACTGTCTCCACCGCCTCCCTTTCTCCTTTGGAGTAACCGGGAACAGAGGGGCTCCTAGGCCTGCTGGCACAGTTGTCTCTCAGCTCTGGAAGAATCTGATGGGCTGTGTTCAGCTTGGAAAGGAGGATGTTTTCTGAGAACTTAGAGTTCTGTCTATACCTGTCCCTCCACTCTCCCAGGCCAGAAGTTTTTAATTTCCCAAATGAAGACTAGCATCCTTTTAAACAGTCACACATTTCCCTGAGACTCCTCATCTCCAGGCCATCATGTCCCCAGCTAACACTGTGGACATGGCTTAGTTTCCCCCCAGGTAGCATGATAAGTAGTTAAGAGGTGGGGTGTGAAGAGGTATCAGACCAGGTATGGCCTCCAGGAAATCTCTGGTCTCTATTAAAAAAGCAAGTCTGAGCCTTAAAAATCTGGAACTACCATAATCCCTGAAGTCATCAAAGTCAGGAGGAGGCCCAGAATTCTACTCAGAAGGGCTGAGAAAGGATGGGGGGGAGAAGGATTTGGATGCATGAATCAGACTTTGAAGCAGGAACCCAGAAGAAGCTGGAACACAGGACTCAGCTTTTGGGTTTGAAACACAGAATTGGAAGATAGAACAGAGATGACAGGAGACCTTAGGGAGGGGACCCGAAGAGGGGCTTAGCCACTTTTTCCTGCATAATTCGGTTGAAACTTGAATATGTGTTCCAGCTTTTCTGCACTTCCTACAAGCAAAAATACAGGCTGAGGCCTATATTCCCGTCTTGAATTCCTTCTTCCCACCTTGACATTCTGCCAGCCAGACCCTCATATTGCAGAACCACCAGGCCTGTGGAGTGGGTTCAGTGATTCTGGGGTCTTCTCAATGACCCCCATACCTCATGAACCCCTGCTTAGCATGGTTTTGCTACCACAGCAGGAAGATGTACTGGGATAGTTGATGGGACCAAATTAAATATTTGCTGTAAGTTGTGGTGGTGTCTTCATCTGCAAGGACTCTCAGCTGTTGGCTAAGGCAGGGCAGTTTTCAGTCGGCTGAGGGGTACTGCGGCGCCCTTTTGGTGTAGTTTTGGTGCCTGTCCTGGAACTCAGTTTGTAGACCAGGCTGGCCCCGGACTCACAGAGACCACTGCCCGACTCACCTGACGTTTTCAAATACTGCATTAGAATAGCGATTTTTGTCTTGGGGAAACAGTTTTGTCATGCACAAACAGTGATGCACTTATGTGAAGGGGGAACACGTGTGATATGGGATCATGTCCCTCCTAATTTAGTGCTGCCTTTGGTGTAGTGACTCTGATAGCGTTAAGTTAGCCAGGCGGTAGTGGCACACGCCTTTAATCCCAGCACTCAGGAGGCAGAGCCAGGTGAATCTTTGTGAGTTCGAGGCCAGCCTGCTCTACAGAGCAAGATCCAGGACAGGCACCAAAACTACACAGAGAAACCCTGTCTCAAAAAAAAGAAAGAAAAACAAACAAAAAATCCCAAAAGTCAAGTTAGAGTCGGACGGGCATGGTGACACATTCAGGTGCAGCAGGTGGATGTCAGTGAGTTAGAGATCAGCCTGATCCAGCTAGTGCAACATAAAGTCAGGAGGCAAATCCACTAGGGTCCAAACTAAGGCACAGCGACCTTCTTTTGCTTTCTTGAGCATACCACAAATTCAAGTGACTCGGCAGAGGGCCCACTGATTTCGCGTTGGTGAAGGGGAACGGAGCACAAGCTCTTGGTCCTCATCGCAGCAGTTTCCCAATTTTCGATCAGAAAGGTCGCCCAGCCGCGTACACGCCCCTTCCTTGCTTCCCAAGCTGCATCCGGCCTTGGTGTCTCACTTCCGGCCAGTAGCTCTTTTTCTTCCGCTTCTCTATGGTCGCGAGCCGGAAGTGGCTGCCGGGCTGGAAGGCGTGAGATCCATTGTGGTGAGCGGGGATAGGGTGATGCGGGCTGGGGTTGCTGGTGGCGCCGGCGCGCGGGGTCTGAGGTGCGGACCGCAACCACGCGAATTCCCCGGGCTGGGGTCCTCACCTGCCGCCTTCCCCCAGGGCTCGTGGCTGTTTTCCTCTCCCGGGAACTAACCGGAGCAGCATCCTTGTAGTCTCCGGACTGTGCTGATGGCAGGGCTAGCGATAGCACCCCGCGTGTGGCCCCTTCGTGTGTGCGTGCGTGCGTGCGTGTGTGTGTGTGTGTCAGGGCTAGTGATAGCACCCCGCGTGTGGTCCTTTCGTGTGTGTGTGTGTGTGTGTGTGTGTGTGTGTGTGTGTGTGTGTGTGTAACGCTCCCGTGGACGTTTGGGATTTCCCGGGTTTCCGGTGCCACCTTTGTGGCTTTTGTCAGATGAGCCCACCATTTGATTAACTGTCACTCGCAGCCGCCCGAAGCCCTCGGAGAGACACACGCTCTGTCCACTTAACGCGCCGCGTAAGACTCCGAGGAGTCGTAGTGAAGAAAAAGTAGTGCATTTACTGCGGGTGCATCAAGGCTGAGAGCGTGAAGTGTGGACGTTTGGAGTGGAGGGAGACTTGGCTTTTCTTTCTGATGCCCCCTCTGTTTCCTAGCTAGCTGGCCTGACTTCGTTTGTTTCATTAAATATCTTACTTAGTTTTAAGAAAAAGAAAATTATGGGCCGGGCGGTGGTGGCGCACGCCTTTAATCCCAGCACTCGGGAGGCAGAGCCAGGCGGATCTCTGTGAGTTCGAGGCCAGCCTGGGCTACCAAG